AAAAAAAAAAAAAAAAAAAAAAAAAAAAAAAAAATCATATCTAGAAGGGAGAAAAACGTGTTCTATGAGAAACACATAAAACTTGATTAAAATAATTGGGAGCTTGTGTCAAGATCATTACACCATACACTAGTGTCAAGCAACATTTTGTGAATCGTATTTTGTCTCCTCCTACGGCTGGGAATCAACCTATCCAACAAAAAATATTGTATATAATGACATATAAAAAATATCACTATATATAGATGTAATTTAACTCTATTTAATATATTTTATATATAATTTTAATGTTAATTTTAAATGAGATTTAATAATACATATATATTATATATCATTATAATATATATATATATATATATACTTTTAAATAAATATATATATATATATATATTATTTATAATATAAATAAAAAGTAATTTTTAATAATAAATATTGTATTATTACAGGATTTTTTATTTTCTTTTAGAGTGAGACACGAAAATCCATTCCTCTACGTACCACACACAGGACCTAGATACCTCATATGTGGCCTTCAACCTTCTTGCACAAAACAAGTTTCATAACCCAACTCGTACCAAAATAGCTTTGTTCTATCAAACTGAAAGTGTTCTCATGTAATTTGAATTAAAAAAAATGAAGTATATATTAACTTTAGACTTGTATGAATTGATTATGATATATTTATTATTTTGAAAATAATTATATTTATAATATATTTTATGATTTATTTACTAGTTATTAAAAAATAGTATAGAATAAACATGAAAAATTTAATCTAATTTTGTTTTAGTCTGAAAAACTCATTAGAGTTAATATAATCACGCAACTAAAGTCAAGCATTTAAATTTGATTGCTCTGAGTTTATGACCTCAAGAATTTTAGAATTTTATAAAATGCTATTCATTATTGGATATCATATATCAATATATAATCTTGGTTATTAAAGATAAAATTTTATACCGGATATAATTAATGACCGGACTAATTTTAACTAATTCAATATAGATTTGATTGGTTACATGCAAGGTGTTAAAGTTAGATTAGTTCCAATTATCCCTAAGTATGTGGTATATGCAAGGGTCAAACTAATTCCAACAAAGTCAATACTGACTTGGTTGATTACATGATGGTTGTAGAAATAGAATTAACTCTAAGTATTCCTAAGTGCATGCTCTTGACTACCTTCACTCATGAATTTGTTGGGAAATATTCAGGAGGATACAAATTCAAATCAATTTTTTAATTAAAATAAATTTGAATTTTGGAAATAATTAAATAAAACACAAATAATTAATTATATGGTATTGAAATATTTTTATCATGAACTTAAAACCATTATAGCACTAACAAAACAAGTGTTGAGCCCCTGTGTATATATTAATTAATGAATTCAATGACAAAATAGGGTCAAAAGTTAGAGATTAATGAGTATGTGTAAAATCATTTTACACCGTTAATAAGTGTCTTATTTTCTCTATTAACACTTTGCTTATTAAAATAAATATAGCGTAGAAATTTGTGAGAGAAAAGAAAGAGATGAAATTAAAAAGTTGGGTTATTTTATTGTTTAGAAAAGAGAGGAAAGCCGAGAAATAATAGTGGGACATATGTTTTATTTTTGTCCCTCAGATGCGTGAAAAGTACAATGATTTTTGCTTGCTTGTGAAAAATAGAAATCAATCGACAAACATACCATTGAAAGTAGGGGTGTTCGTACAACTAGTTAGGAGAAGTTTGTTTGTATTATTATCTATCTTAAAGATTTCATATGTGAAGTGAAGTTTATTCTAATCAAGATGTAATAAATGTGAGATAAGACTCGTTTAATCCATCTTATTAGTATTAGAGGGATCGAGGCACTTCGTGCCTCTAATATTAAAAGTTACGGATAGTTATTTAAAAAGAATAAAAGAAGATTTTTTTCTTCTTTTTTTACATTTTAAGGGATATAACGGTCCACTAAAAAGTGGAGATCAAAGGGGTAGTTACCAAAATATAACTCCTTTATAATAAGTATAGATAAGATATTAATTTTAACATTATATATGATTAAACTTTTTAAATATATATATATATATATATATATGAGAAAAAATCTATTAATTTTAAGAGCAAATCTATCTAAACTTATTAATATATTTATTTTATTTAATAACTTATATTATATCAAATTTCAACGATCTTAGCATTAAATTAAAATTTCTTAATGCATATATTAAATTTGTAAATTTAAAAAAAAATTAAAAATTATTTAATATTTCGTTATATAAATTCAAATCAATATATAAAATATTTTTATGATTATTCATCATTTTGAATTAATAAAATGAAATATTAAATAATTTTTATTTTTATTTTTAAATTTGCATATTTAATCCATATATTAAGAACTTTCAATTTAATAATTAAAGCATCAATATTTAATGTAGAATATGAGTTAATGAGCAAAATAAGTCTAAGTTAAACTTACTCGAAGAGTAAGTGTATCCTTCAAATCTCTCTCTCTCTCTCTACATATATATATTAACGTGCTGTTAATTTTTGTAGAAAATATTTTTTATTTTATTTGTTGTTAAAAATATTAATCAATAATTTATCATTACTATTAATTTTTCATAAAATATTGAATAATTTCTATGATTAATATTTTTATGTAAATTTTTTTATTTATATTTATTTAAAAACCAAAACAATTTAATTAACATTATTAATGTTTTATGATGTTTTTACAGTTTCTTACATTAATGTCTATATTGTTATTATATAATTAATAGAATTTTACATTTATTTTATGAGAATTTCATATGGAAATATTTTGGGTGAAATTTTTTTAGGAAATGAATATATATTTCAGAAGTTATTAACTTTATATGCTTTTATTACATTTATTTTAAAATTATAATAATTTAATTAATATAATTAATATTTTTAATGATATTGTTACGATTTCTTATATTAATGTTGATTATTGTATAATTATATAATTAATACAATTTGAATTTTATTTTATAAGAATTTTATATAAAAATATATTAATTATTTTTAAAGTGACGTTATTAAATTTCATAAATATTATAATGATGTTGTTTTTATTAGGAGCAATTATTTTCTGGAAAAGTTATGGTAAAGACTACATTATTGTATCGATAATCAATTATCTAGAAGTTATTCGCTTTATTATAAGTAAAATAAGATAAGATATATTGTTAGACAAAAAAAAAAGAATTTATTAATTTAAATAATTCTATTATTAATACATATATATTAGATTGGATTGGATCCACGTAAAGAATAACTCGAATCTATCCTTGAAAAACCCAAGCGTGTGGTTCAGCGGTAAGGGTTGATCCACGCTTAAGCAAGGTCAGGGGTTCGAATCCTGCCTTATGTATGCAGCCGCGTTAAATCTTGGGGTCAGCTATCCCACACCCTTTGAGGTGCCTCCAA